TACGAATTTGTGTTAGAATTTCTGTGGTAATACCTGAACGTGTTAAATGTTCATGTGCCTGACTGTGCTCCCACCTGTACTGGGTTCAGTCTATCCCACCTCCCTTAGCTACCAATAGCAAGAACATTTTTGTCTCATTATGAACAAGCAAGTTTAATTTTGGTTCCTGGAAAGCGGCTCCTGTCACATTCCACATGTTCCAGTGTCCAGTAGGTGCTCAACTCACCACGATCTCAGCAGCCAAAGCCCCTGCTGTGTGTAAATCCCAATCCTCCCCCTTAGTAAGCCCCTCTGCACTGGGCTTTCAGTGATGGCTCCTGAAAGGGTGTAGGAAGGAAAACTGAAGGTACTGTAGCCCCCTCACCTTTTGTCTAGAGGTTGTTTTTAATCTTGGTATAATTTATTGAGTTTGAATGCAAATGTCTGAAGTAGGGAGTGTGTTTAAAGATTGTTATTCTGTTTCCCTGCCAATATTTACATTGTGTTCTTATGTATCCTTCTTCATGCTAGAGTGGTACAGCAGGAAGCAGCATGATGCACAGTATGAAAAGCACGACTGGGAAGATGTGCTGCCACTCTCGGACTCTGAAAATGGCTTATTTCCGCGTGGATGTTACCCATTTCTTGTAGATGTTAGGTAGGTTTTCTGATTGTGTGCTGATCTGTAAGCTGGTGAAGATACAATAGGCTGGGTTGCCTGTTTATCTACTTTCCAGCTGTCCACTCATCATCTTGCTTTTTTGCTGCTCAACCATGTTCGTCCATGAAGTGCCCTGGAGGGATGAAGCGAGGCAAGACATTTGGGCTATTCTGCTTTCTCCTGGTGTGCTGGTAGGAACAGGGACACGAGGGAGCTCTGCTGCAGTGGACTGGAGGGACAGGCATGGGTTAGGAGCGCAAGAGCAGCAGGCCCAGGGCCACGTGTCTCACTGGGGCTGGTCTCCCTGGCCCTCATGGTGGAGCAGGCAGGCCGGCGGCTGCAGCAGTGCACGATCCAGGAGGTCTGACCCAGGCTGTGGAGGACTTAACGTTGTACGTCTGCTCCTGTCACCGAGCCTGGCAGCAAGAACCATGGCACAGGAATAGCCTAAAATAGAGCCTTTTGCAGTTGCAAAGACATCACAAACTGCCCCGTTTGTAAGCCCATCATAGGGAACATCTGAATCGTCTCATCTGGCTTCTTTCAGTACCAGCGCATTATTAGGAATGTCTGTTTCATGTATAGCAGCTTATGCAACATTGTCTATAAAGGAAGGGCCTGTGCACTTCAGGGATACTATGAAGAAAAATATTAATATATGGTCATTGAGTATTTTGTATTGAATAGTGTATTTGTATTGTAAACGAGTGTAGTGAACCAAAAGGCATGCGGATAAATAAAATGACTGTTCCTGGCTTTGCCCGTCTTGGATGTTCATTGAACTGTCTGCAAGGATTGCAAAAACATTAGGTTCACATCTCTAGAGTACAACAGCAAAGGGAGGCCTGGGTGTGAATTTTTACTTTTTCAAATATAAAGTACCAGGTACAGGCACCTGTTTGCTAAGGAGCAGGCAGGCATAGCTGGGGCTAGCAGGAGCTACCTCAAGCCTTTGCATGTGTAGGACCTCAAGGTTTGTTTCTCAGAGCAGATGGGTGACTTTGCCACCAAGTTGGCTTTCAGCTAAAGGAAACTGGCCAATATAAGAGGAGAAAAAACATATGGTTAAAGAGAATATTTAGGTGTTTTCATTCCTAAGTGTGGTTATTCAAGTACAGCATTTTGTGTCCGAACGTTGACTTGGAGCAGCTGTAATTGTAAGATGTATGAAAACAGTAGCATGCCATGGTCAAGTCCTGTGCAAACATAGGAAGCGAGTTCCTGCCTGAAGATGTCTCCCCTGTCCCCACCTTGCATCAGTCTTACACCTTATGTTGCTGTTTTCACAATAAATGGGCCTTCAGATTGGATTTGTTTAGCAACCTTGTTCTGCTTTACTTGCTTGTCCACATGCTTGTCCCACTGTGGGCTTAGTAATGTCCCTCTGTCCTCTCACACTGCAGTTCCTCCCTCTCATCTTAACCAAAAGAGGAACTGCTCTGATTCCAGACAGGATTGGGTTGGGGCCCTGCTGGCTGGCATTTTTCTGCTTTTTTCCAGAGCAGTGTGCCTGCACAAGGCAGGAAAGCAGATGCAAGTTGGAACTTCACTATGTGGCTTTCATGAGCATTGGCTTCAGTTTTCACCTGGTATTTGACACAGGTTCTTCAAAATTTGAATTCTCTCTATAAGCCATAAATGCTGGACTTGCCACCTGTGCACCCCTCAGGTAGCAGAGCTACCTTGTCAGAGACCCTGCTCTGTTTTGCCCATCTGTAGTGCCAGTCTGACTTGAGTCTCAGATCTTGCTGGATACCAGCATTTAGAAGTCTAGGCATCCTGCCCTGGAAATACAACTCAGCACCTGCAGAACCATCACTGAATCCAACTGACAGAACTCACTAGAAATGAATTCCCCATCCTGGGACTCTTCAAGGAAGTGTCCCTCCTCATACCACACCTGTTTCCAGCCAGGTTACAACAAAACTTGAAATGCCTCCGTGCTCAGAGCACGGAGACCCTTCCTCTCCTGCCACCAGGCCCAACGCTGTACTGTGGGAGAAGGTAAAACATCCGAGTCTGCACAGGCAGCACAGAACTGCTGGGTTATCATGTGTTTATTCATTAAATATTTTACTTCTGTATTTCATGGGGGCTTCGGAGACCATCTGCTTCACTTCTTGTAATAGGTTAAGGGCTGCAGTCCTCTAGACCTCAACACAGCTGGTTTTGCTTCCTGTGTTCTGCACAGCCCCTAATTCTAAACTTCAGTGCTAGTTATTTTCAGAATTTTATGACAAAGTCTCTATGGCAAGAGTTGGGGAAAAAGATTACGGCACCTTGCCTCAGATTTAAGGAAGCACACGTCCTGTCGCATCACCAACTTGGAGATCGCCATTGGTAATACTCCTTGGAAAGGGGAGACGGATCCATTTCTGATTCAGGCTGTACAGAGCCAAAGGGCTGCCCGTTCCGGCTGACAGGGCTCTGCTCAGACCCGCTCCTGACTCGCTCTGGGCTGCTGCTGTGCCCTGCCTCAGTGGCACTGAGTGCCCTGCCTGCCCAGCCCAGGGCTCCACTCTTCCCTCTGCCCTTCCACAGGCAGCTGTGCAGGAAGCGCAGCAGGAGGCGGGCATGGGAAGGGAACCGTTCCAGGGCACTGGAACAACTCTTGGGAAGTTGCTGTTTCCCCACCTGCTCTTCACCTGTGTCCGACGTCCCACACACAAGTGCTGCAGCGAACAACGGAGCTCCGCTTCAGCCCCACTCACTCTCACTGCCCTGAGCACCGCCTGGAAAAGCAGTTACATTCAGCCCATCCCATGAAATAGAAAAATTAGTGTTTCTAATAATTCAGACAGGCGAGTGACAAGATAAATTCTATAATGACCTAATAAAAATTCTCTTTGACCTAGGGTTTTATTTTACTAATAACAGCAAGAAACAGACGTGGACAAAGTAAAGCTCAGTACACCACTGAATATCTGCATCTTCAAATATAAAGCATTAATTTCTTTACATTCAAAATTTACAGGTTTTATATTCAATTAAAAACTCCCATAAATTAGAATACAGCCCATCTTTTAAATACAGCTCAGGAAAAATAGCTACAGTAGTATTTAACATAACAGCAGATTTCTGTCTAAAAATAGGATATTACAATGTCATTTAAAGTGTCACTTCTTTCAAGTAGGTAAAAGCAAGCAGATCATTCAAGAATGAAATGACTGTTCTGGAACATAAAAACCCCTGATAACCTTCAATAAGTTATTGTTTACATATGCTGAACAATTAAAATACATATGTGCTTAAAATATGGGGCAAATACTAGCTGATTCAAAAGACTGAGAAGCAAATAATGTCATATTGCCATGCATTGTAAGGCTAAACCTAAAACTATCCTGAAGGAGAGTCTTACAGGAAAATTTACACTGGAAGCAGTACTAAAGGAACCAGGAAGAAACACGTATCACAAATGTTAATAGCTTGCTTGAAAACTCTGCATGTAATCCCTACCACTAGCAGGAAGAGCCATGCTGTATTTATACAGACTCAATATTTATGATGTAGCTCTCATATTTAGCTCCACTCTGGGTTTATTTGCATTAAAAACTGGGATATTCATATCCTGCAGCACACCAAACAAGCAAATCTCTTAAAATGAGGGAAAACTCTCCAGGAGAGTGCAAAGTGCATTATTTTGAAGAATGCTTCTTGTACTTAGCTCTTTCTACAAATGGCTACAACAAAAAAAAAGTGCTTTTTACTATACAGACTGACATGAAGTATAATTGTGCTTTTTAAAGGCTTTTTATTTAATTGCTGCTGTTCACTAGGATAGCCGCAAATACTTTTATTTATCAGCCCTTTTGTTTTGTAGAGGGAGAATGGGAGGGGGAAAAGAGGAGGGATATGAATGATAAAATGTGGAAGTACTTCACAACTGCCCAAAAAAAAAAGGAATATTTTTTGCTTGCTTATTGCTAGCAGCTGGTATCAAAATTGACAAAAGTGTCTAGGAAACAGATGAATGTCACTTATTAGCCACCTCCTCTGTCAAAAGCAGGCAATGCACCAAGCAGTTCATTACCACAGCAAAGAAAATCATTTAAATACTGCATGAATCACAAGCAACTTTAGAGGGCATTAAATATACTTGCATTCTCTTACTGGAACATTATTCAAATAATCCAGCATCTTAAATCCAAGATGCTTCTGCAATAATCCTCCCAGGCAAAGGTTGTCTCAGCAAGAGCAATGGAATCATGATTTTACTACTTAAAGTGACTGAACTTTTTTTTTAATGTTTGTGTGTGTGTGTGTGTTTCTATGCACATGTGCATGCACACACATAAAACACAAATGCTGGTTTAATAATTTAAAAATAAATTGGCATTCTGAGATAGGGGTCCTGTGTGCTTTTAAAACCTATTTCCCATTGCATTCGCACATTTTGGCTCAGCAAATGTCATCCACAAGTTTCGCCCCGTTAATCCCACGATAGGTTACTCTACTGGGTCGAACCAAGACCCCATGGTTCAGTTTGCAGGTGAAGTAGCGCTTCTCCCCCACAGACCCGTCGTTCTTTCCCTTGGCACTTCTGAGCTCAAGTCCAAGCCATATCCCTGGAGCAAATTCTGTAGGACCAATGTACCTGATCGTCCCCATTTCATTGGAGCTGGTCAGAAGCACCTGAGAGCCTTCGTGCAACTTCACTGGTCCCTCGGCATTAGCTGTGGCAGCGTTGCTCCAGCTGCGCCTTAACACAGAGCTCTTGGATCTAGTTTAAAAAAAAAAGCAAAAACTAAGAAAAGCCTTATCTGTATAAAACATCCACGGCAATGTAAATATATAACTCAATGAAGTGTTTTTAAAAAAAAAAGAAAAACTCAAATCCCCTAAAAATCTCATCTCCTGTCAATGGCAAAACATATAACAACATTAATATGCTTATGCTAGTAAACACAGTACTCTCAAATACTTGGAAAATCCATTTCCTTTCGCTTGATGCTAGGATCCACAATACTCAGAATAATTGATAGTACTGATCAATTAAGTGGTACAAAACATTTTAGAGGCTGATGAAAAGCTTTGCCAAACCAACTTGTAATGTGTCAAGAACAACAGGACAAAGGGAACTTCATAAACGCAGCTGTGTGAAACACAAGGATTCGAGGACTGCGCACACAGCCCCTTGGAAATAACCTTAATGCTTCCTTGAATCCAGGGACTATACTCCTAGCCAGCACTGAAACATAATCTATTTCTGTTCCATTTTGGAACAGGAATGTTAAAGCTCTACGTACTAAGCAGGCATAGCGATTTTCTTTTCTTCTGAACCAGAAACAGTAATGTCAACAGGCAGCCAAGCCACACGTTTTATTTGCAAGCCCACACACTCACCGAACAAAGGAGTTTCTCCTGTTTATCTCTTTCTGCGAAGATGCAGAAGTTGTGCTTAAACTGCGCCTAAAACCTAAGTGGAAAGGTGACTAAGCGTTAGAGCTTAAAACAAAACAAAACAAAAAAACACTAATAGACAAACCCTATTAGAACTCATGTTCATTACATTTTCATTCATGCTGCTTTCACTTCTTGCAACATACTCTCCACTCCTCTTGGGAAACCAGGTGATAAAAATTCTCATGACAATAACTTAGTAACATATTTAGGCATTTTAAGATGACAGATGACAGAAATTAGATTAAACAAACAGAATTAGGTTAATTTGAAGCATCTCTTCCACAAAACTTTAAGAAAAGAATAATGTATCTATTTCAGGTATCTCAGAACAGTTTCAGTAGTTCAACATAGACCTCCTTCTCTGCACTGATCCACTCATCAATCTGGACTTATTTAAGAAACAGACTCAGTTTACAGCAGACTATGACTACAGTGCAATTTTGTAGTAAGGGGAGAATGTCATTTGCTTATGAAAACACTATTAACTCTGATGTGATTAGTTCTGCAAGGACAATTACTAACAACGTCGTTCACTGCAGTTCTTTCTGCAGGGTCCATTTTTAGAAAGGTAAGGGGCAGACTATTTGCTGGCATTTGGGTTTCCTCAAAGCCACGGCACTTTGAAAGAATTATTTCTGTGCTGTGGTTTCTGGTTGCAGAGAGGTCTGCAGGCTGTAGAAGACAAATTACAAGTGTCTTTCTTACAGTCCTACCTGGAAAACTGTGATTTAGTCTATTCAGTGAAGTTTCTGTGAGAGAATCCAGAGAACCTGTTAATCTGAAGAACAATAACAGAGCAGAAGTTTAGAAGAAGTCATTTCAACTTAATATACAAAGGATTCCAGCAGTAGTGATATTAAAAGTTTAGCTGAGATTCTTTCTCTTCTCCTTCCATCCCCAAGGACACTAACATTTAACAAACAGGCTGGGGTGTAACAGACACCTGTATCAACCCATTTTATTTAAGTTACTATAGCAAGCAATGAAATGTGTAATTTTAAGCCAAAATTCTGTAGCAGTTTATTGAGCTAGAAACTTTAGGAAAATATAAGGAAGAGTATGTCTGGCAGAGTAACTGGATACACATAAGGGAGGAAAGAGCACAGTACTGCTTCTGATGTTCCTCCAGAAACTAGCGGAGGGACTATGGGCAAACTGGCTGGATCCCCTGTGCAAGAAAGCAGCAACGAGCATCTGCCAGTCATGCCCAAAGCAACTTTCTTGCACAGCTGAATTTTTCTCACAGCCTCAGATTAGGTTATGAATGTATAAAGCTTAATGAACACAGACTCAATTAGAAACATAGGTCCTGGAATGAAAGCACTTGAAGTGGCTGCAGAGGAAAACAGGAGTTCTCTTTCCAATTTACACTCTGGTTCTCTTAAATCTGGAAACACGATCTATAAACCTCCATCAGCAGCAGAATAGTGTTAGAATAGTGTTACACCCAAATATGCTGCAAGCTTTCCTTCCCATGGGAAATACACTCCGAAAGCGTTTGGCACCACAAAGAGCAAAACTGCTTCAGTGCTCACCTCTGTACCCGGGACGGGGGGGCAAACACGCCGTGCCTGGGAAGACAGTGGAAGTACTGGACACCTCCCACTGACCCATCATTCTTGCCATGAGGTTTGTCCAACTCAATGCCACACCAGAATCCTGCAAGATTTAAAATAGTAAAATTAGTGGTGCAGGTGAATAAAATACAGGCTTTCTTTTACCTAGGCAGTTGGCATTCACCTGCATCAAAGAAAACAGTTTCTAACATATCATGTTTATAGTATTTTATATAACTATATATATATATATATACACACACACACACACACACACACACTTTATAAACTTTTATATATGTATACTTTTATAATACCATATATATAGCATGAAAGTATATATAAAAAAGTATATATAAAGTATATATACTATATATATAAAGTATATAAAAGTAAATATATAGTATTATAAAATAGCTGTGCTGAATTTATACATCAGAACATACCTAAAGATAGTTATCATTTTTATATGTTATGAATATTTAAGAAAATGAATGACATTTTAATACAGAAAAGTAAAACATCTGATGTCCATCTTGAAGCTGAATGGAAATATTACTGAATGTAACAGTTGCTACTTGACAAAAGAAATTATGAATGAACAGTGATGATGGTTCGAGTTTCCCTTCTTCAGTTTGCTGCCCCTGTGGTTTATGCCTCATCTGAGATCATCAATACTAAAACTAAAGTTTTGATATTAATTCATTCCTCTTCTCCATCCAGCAAATAATAATGAATACAATTTGCAAGGGTGATTATGTGATACTGAGAGAAGGGTGTAAGAATAGGAAGTGGGCAGCAGTTCATCTCATACAGAACACTGAATAGGCATCGAGATGTTAATAAGTTTGATCATTCATAATCTGTGATAAATTGAGCTAATTATATAAAGGTGCTAAATTTCATACTCCATTAGTAGTCCTTTATGCTATCCATCCCTGAAAGATTCAGAATTTAATTCAAGTCACTTGGTACTCTGGCAGCAGATATAACAGTAACACTAATTATGGGCTTAGCAAACTCAGGAATGACAACTCACAAATCAGAAGGGTTCAGTGTGTCAGAAGTTCTCCCTTTCCTGTTTTCTGAATTAAAGAAAGATCTGCATTGCAGCAAAATGAATAGGAAGTAAAGTTTTGGCAATTTCCCAGAGCTCTGATGCATTTTAAAATAGCAATACTTAAAAATGCTACATTTTCCATAAATTACTGGTTTTGCAAATGGTGAGGAGTTGCAGTCTTTTCATTCTCATGTCTTAAAATACCATGTTTTTCCTATTAAAAAAAAAAAACTCATAACTTGAGGAGGAAAAGGAGGGGACTTACACCATCAGTAGCTCACTGATTTTGCACTTACTAAAATAGAAAAACAGTCCTTTCTCATTGTTCACTTAGTAACCAACAACACAAAGGAAAGGATGATCACCTGAGTGTGTAGAACTACCAAACTAGATTATAGGCGTATCTTGAGCAAGGTCTACCTAAATTGAAATTGCGGAAATGGGAATGAAGAAAAAATAAACTAATACAAATATATATATATATATATGTAGCTTGTACTGCCATCTTGTATTCTAACTGAACATTTGTTTTTAAATACCAGTGCCACCAAGTGTCAAGACAAGGTATTGACTTACATACTGATCAAGCAGACTTTATTTAAAATAGATTCAGTGCAAAAATGCTAATCATCCTACCCAACACCAGCATTTACCAACTGCTTCTGCATTAATCTTGCAATTATAAGATCATAGGTAAGAACAGATAATGCCCTGAAGCAATTTGATTAGGACGAGTGAGTACTCGGAAATTACAGTTTCCTTAAGTTGGACTGACTGGTTTCTGCTGAAGACATTTGGATTCACTGCAATGCAGTGGGGGAAGGAGAAGAATGACTAGAGAAAGGAGTTTCAGGATATTTTTGAGATACTTGTAGCTTTTCCTGTGTGCCGTGACCTGACGTTTGTCAGCATGAAATCAGTTAAGACTGAAATGTTCCCAATTATGCTCTTAAAGGAACTAACAAGATAAAAATGAGACAGATACATGATACGGCAGAACACAAAAATTAAAAGAGATTAGCTGAGTCAAAGAAGCTACAGAGGCAAGTTAAGAAGTAAAGCTATGTGGTCTCAATAAACTATGTGGCTCTTTGGAGAATAAATTGAGGATTTTCAGAAAGCTTTGGAACAACACCTACAATTTTAACATCAAAATATTTCTCCTAATTGAACAACATAAATGGACAATTAAAAGCCACATTTTAAATTCTTACTTTTTCTTTGCCATTTTGCATTGCAGAAAATAAAAATACTGAATGAAACAAGGGAGAGAAAGAACTTCAGCACAAACCAGAAGATCTTCTTTTTGGAGACTGAAGAAAAAGATGGTGTTCTTGTAGTGTTCATGCCCTCACATGCAAGCTGTTCACTACTGATTCTACAGCACCTGCAAAGAGTCTGCAACTACCTGGTGCAAACTCTGTCGTCCCATAGAATCTAACCGTGCCTGTTCTCTGTCCCACCACGAGCACTCTGTCTCCAAGCTGAATTTCTCTCTCCTCAGAAGGATTTTTCCTCATAGCTAGAGAAGAACAAGAGATCAAATTAGTGAAATATTATCTTTAAAATTCGAGAAGGTCTTAATAGCTAGAGCATCAACTGACCCTTCAGATAGAGTATCTGCCTTTGACATAGTCTACCTTTAGCACTTGGCAACATGCCACACAACCTTCCTCGACAAAAAATTGCTTTGCTGCAGCATGGTAATTATGGTCTACAGCCTTTTCTCTGCAGTTGAAAAGTATAGTGACAGACTGCAACAACATTTTTAGGCTTGAAGATGTCCTAAAATTATTTAAAAGCTAGAAAACTTTGTGGGTTAACTACTCTGCAAGTGCCTTTTTTGAACTATCTCAAATTCTGAAACAACACAAGCAGTTCTACATTCAATACAACAGTAAAGTTCCACCTGTGAATATACGTCTCAATAAAACAAACAATACCAGCATTAATTTTAGATGAGGCAGAAACTGCTCTAATAACTGCTCTTTTATTGTTGCTGGTTGAGGTCCGTTTTTTGGAATAGTTCTGTTTGCCTTCTAAGGAGGTAGCAGAAGAGGAAGAGCTGCTGGATCCAAGAAAAGCTAAAAGACATAAATGGAAATTCACTTTCAGAGATTATAGTCAGAAACCAAAAAATTAAGCAGAGAGGAAAGCCTCTGTAAGGAATTTATCTGTTCTTTCTAGTGGGCAGGATAAAAAGTAAAAGTTTCAGAGGAAAGCATACAAAAATTGAGATTTTTTTAAGGAGTGGTTAACACAAACATCTGTCAGGAATGACATAGGTAGACCTGACCCTCAGAAATAAGGCGATAGTTTGGAGCTTTTAAAGACCTCTTCAAGAATTATTTCTGTTATTCTATGGAAGCTCTTGTAAACAGTCCCAAGCATATTTGTTAAAATATAGGGGATTTAATGATAAGACATCTTACTACCTCTCTTTCAGCAGCCATCTTATTAAAAATTCGATGAGAAATGGAAGGAAGGTGATGTGAGTGAATTATTGCGTGGGTTAAAGCCTACCATATTCCATTACATATGGCATTAATATTAAAATCTGGACTATAAAATAAGAATGGGAAATAGATCACTTTTATCTCCATTTGCAAACCCTGACGCCTAAGCTGTCCAGTAAGACTTATGTCCAGCCTCCTCCTCCTTTTTTAGGTCTTTTCTCAGTTCCCTCTCTTCTTTGCCTTTTCATTCCAAATAAGGCAAGGCTCACAAAGACAAGTTATGTACTATGCCTCAGTTTCTCAATATGCAAAATTAAGATAATACTATTTATCAGACTTTCCAGAGTGCTGAGAGGCTTAATTCATTAGTTTTTGAAAAGCACCTTGAGATCACCATTGGTTTAGTGAAAAGAGGAATTCAATATTAATGTAATTTAATCCTCCAATTTGGCAAAAAGAAAAAAGTAAAGAATGGCAAAGAGGTTCTAGGTCACAGCAAAAACTTCGCTATCTGTAGACAGGGAACAAGCAACTGAAGACTAAGATAGTGGCTGCAGTCGTGTTACAACAAAGAAAACACACACTATTAAATGAATGGTGCCTGAACAGGCCAAATTCACCTCCAAGTCCAAGGTATAAAACTGCATGTGTGTGTGCACGCTCACACTAAAACTCTATACTCAGAAATCAGATGTGAGTCGTTAGAGGCCAGGTCACCTGCATCTTCAGGTGAACTCAACAAAAATGTGTGTACAGCAATACAGAAGCCTGTCGTGAACACACCTCATTTATGGAAAACCGTGGGCAAGGGAAAGAAGGGCAGAAGGAATCTTAGCAGGTCACATAATCCAGTGTTTTACCACCAGGCAGAAACAACATTCCTTGGATCATTCCTGACAGATGAGCGTTTCACCTGTGCTTAAAAACCTCCTGCCACAAAAATTTTAGGACCTTCCCAACAATACATTTCATCATATACTTTTCTATACTGTTAAGGGTATTTTTTTTTATTCCCAAAATAAAATCTAAATTACTGCAGTTTTAGCTCAGGATTTCTCTACACATGCAGAACAGATTATACTTTTTTTCTTGTGTTTGAAAGCTTCCTATTTTGTCTCTCAGTCTTCTATCCTTTTAGAAGTGACAAATCCCATTCTGAAGTAATGTCATACAAGACAGCGCTTGAATATCTTCCTCAAGTCTCTTCCTCACAACTGCTCATTGACCAAGGATATAAAAAGATTCCTTTCTTCAAAAAGAGACTATTCAAAGTCATACTTGACATTATTTCAGAGAAATGCTTCTTTTTACAAACACTTGCAATATAATTTGACAGAGAAAACCTCAAACTTTGTACAGTACGCTGAAGACATCCTTGAAAGCAGGTCCCTTTATGTTTTCAGTACATAAAAACTGATGCAGTGGAAATCACTATCCTATTCTGAAACTAGATAATTACAGAGAATGATTCATATCAAAAAGCAGTTTAAAAAAGCTAGAATTTCCTTTTTATACTTGCAGCTTGTTACTATGAGTCTTCCATGATACAATGCCAAGGTTGTTGAGTGATATTACATCATAACACTTTATTACACAAAGCCCAAACATGTAAGCAGCAAGAGAAAATAGAAACTCCAGCAGAACATATACATAGTTCTCCATCCAAATATGTGCAGCAGTGACTGGTATAGGACAAAAGGCCTCTCTCAGAAACAAAGGAAACTGAGACTCTTTGTAAAAAATACTACCAGATAAGCTATAGGCTTTAGAGGCTTGCCTTTATTATTATCCCTGTATTTGTATAGAGGTTATTACCAGGGCAATATGGCATGCCAAACGTCCACACAAATTACTCTTGCTCCTAGCAAACTAAGATATGTTATGAACTACTGTTCCTGGAACTTGAATACCAGCAAGCAACTGCTTTTATATCACAGATGCAGAGCTTTCAAAGAGGGAACACAGACGAGCACTCCCCTCTGCCCTATCCAAACTTTTGCACAGGATATTAAAAAATAACATGAATGCAGTTACCTTTTTTTGCAGGTACAGTTTTTGCCTTGTCTGCAGTCATAAAGGTGGTTTCAGAACCACTGTCTTTTTTTAGTGTAGCTAGGCCTAGAATAAAGAAAAAGAGAAAGACAATTAAAAATACATGTCTTGACAAAGGAAGTCATATATGAAAACAATTTGATAGATTTGTAAATTACTAGACAAATGACATCATTTCCACCTCATCCTTTCAATTTCACTGTGCTTCCCACGTGACAGATGACTGTAATCCTTAAAAAAGGCAGTAGTATATATATTCACTTATATAACACTATAGGATAGCATGGACTCCTACTTGTAGTTTTTACTCATTTGAGTAAAACTAGTTATCTCATCTAGACATCAGTGCCAAACCTCAGCTGTTGTATTTGGATTCTCTCGTCCTCTTCGTCCATTTCCTATGATTATACCTGTGTGCTCTCAGGCTCACCCAGCCTAGGACTTTCGATAACTATAACATTTCCTAGACTCTACATAAGTGGGTAAAACAATACATCAGATTTGTTCTAGCTGAGGTTAAAACCAACAACTTAAAAAAGCCCAGAAGATCTCACCAAACTATCAAAAAAGTTATTTGCCAAATATTAATACTTATATTGACAGTTCAAGTCAAAATTGTTCATTTACATTTATTATGTACGCAATACACATGCATTATTACATGCAGTATACTATTCACTAGCATTAATTCCACAATTTCTTCATTAAACATTACATATATAAAAAAAGTTTTGGGACAAAATCTTTATTCAGGCTACAAAATAATGAAGTATGCCAATACCAATGACATAAAGTTAAAAGCCAGTTACAGACACAGTGTTGTGTTATGCACATGAACTAATACTGCCACCTAAGTTATAAATGATGAACATTCATTTTGTATTTCTAAGCGTTTTCTACTCTTAACTCATTAAAGAACAAACTTATGAGTTCCCTCTGCCAATTATGAAAAAAAAACACTTTTTATTTACAATATCTCTCAGCTTAATTCAGCTACAGAAACTGAATAAAAAAGTAGTTTGCAAGCGCATTGTGTATTCAAAAGATTTTATATTTCCTCCACTGAAGCATCAGATCAAAAAAGTAGTGTTCTTGACTGATAAGACATTTCTCACTTTGATCACAGTAATCCTTTCTCTAAAAAAACCCAAAAGAACTATCATCATCAATTGAATCTCATGGATTATTCAAATCCAGTAGAAACAAATCAAATTTTAAAATCTCTATACAGTATCATAAGTAAATTTTACTTTGCAGCTTATAATCATATCTACAAAAAAAGTGTATTAATTATTTTTCTAGGATCATAACAAACCAGTGTACTACAGGAATGAAGTGTAAATGAAAAGAACTTTAATCTGGTGACGCATATAGACACTGCAAAACAAAATTTTGCTTTATCCTCCCACTCCAGCCAGTGAATCAGTCTGGCACATTAACTCTAATGGACCTTTCAGCACAAGGACATCTTACAAATGGCAGCTTGAAGATAGCTGGGTTTGGACGTAAGCTGTGTTGGAAAGACTGATGCTGATTTTTACCTAAAAGAAGTATCAAATGTTCTTAATTTACAAAGACAGTCACGAGCCTTTATGACAGAAAAGGTGGTTTATCATTGAACTTTCCTGCACATGCCATCTGTCACAACAGAAATGCTCCTTTCCAATACAATTCCTAAAGAGTTCACGACAAGCTGGATTAAACGCTGAAAAATATTTACCAGAAAGACGAGTTTAGATCTGCTCCTGAGCAATACTGTGAACAAGATAATTATTCTGAGAAGCATTTTTTTGCAGGACATTAGTTTATAAATAGCTTAACTCTTGTGCTATTTGTAAATATACACGGTTAAGGCTTACTTCTCTCTCAATCTATATAGTGAATAGTTACATATATCCTCCAAGATTCTGCCAAAATAAATTATGCATCTCTCCTGCCAGCTTGTCATGTTACTTCTATATGCTGCACATTAATGGTAAATAGTGGAACATTCCAGGGCTCTTAGGCAAACTTGCTGTGAATGCATATATATCCTTTAATCCCTTAAACTGTGTTGCCTTGGTATGAGTCATCAGAGCAGGATTCAAAAAAACAAAATAAATGCTAATGTAATTTATTTAATGACATTATTCTTTAGCCAACCAAAGAGCCAAATGATGCATGCTGTGTTCTATACACGCACACAGCAGGAAAGAGTCAATACTCCAAACACCTTTCAGCCTCAACAGATGAGCAAAGATGCATCATTCTTACTATGCAAGCAGGGAACTAACAAACAGAAGGATTTAGTAATTTGAGTAAATTACTAAGCGACTAAAACAGAGCCAAGGATCAAGCCTACAATTCCAGTCACTAGACTGAGACCTTACTACAAGGACATCCATTTTCTTCTAATTTGTCTCTGATTTCATTCAGATAAATTAATTAAAAGACAGAACAAAAGGAAACAAATAGTCTCTTGATGATTTTGCCAGGAAATAAAATAAACTTAATCATTTTCTATACATAGTTGTACATCAGTAAATGTCTACATTTTCACTGATATCAGTGAGATGTTTCAAGGCACTCAGGAAGATCTTAGTAAACAAAACCACATAGTTTTAGATATAGGACTTGTATCACAATCAGTCAGAAATTACTTTAAAGGGCTGAGAATAAATGCTGCAGTGAACTTTTTTCCACACAGTATATAAAGAGCCCTCACAGTGTATCAGATCACCATAATTAGCATTTCTGAATAGGTCAACAGTCTCCATGCCTCAGTGTCACTTTGTCTGAGACTCTCATGACAATTTCAGCAGAACTGGTCGTGTTCAGACATGAACAGAGGCACCTGCTCAGGCAGAGCTCCCGAGGAAGGCAGGAACTGGCACAGCCACCCGGCTTGTACAGCAAGTAACATAGAACAGGAAAGCCAGACTGCAAGGGTGCAAGGCTTCTCCTGTGAAGCACTAAACAACTACAGCATCCTAGCAGGAACAATTTAAAGGTTAGTTAACTTCCACTAAAGAGAATATTCAGTTTCTAAGTTCTCATGCCAAGTGATGAACTAATTACAAGCAAGTGTTTTAATAACAAGATTTACAGGACTGGTGCTAATTCCTGAGCACGACTATCTCTCTATCCTTTCTCAACATACAAGAAAATACTCACCAGAATTCACTCTAGAAGTTATGTGCGTCACATCTATTTTCTTGGATTTAACCAAAGGTGAAGACCGCATAGAAGAAGTTCGTACCGAGCTTTTTTTGTGATCAGAAGCCTTGCTTATTTTAGAAAGAGGTGCAAAGATACCTGTAGAGAAATTACAAGGGCCAGAAAGAACAAGGGACAATATTAACACGACAAAACTTTGGCTACTATCTCTTAGATCAATTAATCTAGGTATTTTTCCAGTCATGGCTATAGCTGTTGAACTCCCAAAACACATGTAACTTTGGGAACTAGAAAGCTCTAGGTCAAACAGAACAGAGAAACCAAAAGATATATGAAGCAACTGGACCAAAGTAAAATCTATGATACTCTCCTTTTAACACCCACAGTAGCATTCAGTCTCCATTGTTGCAAAACACAAGACCTTTTGTATCACGAACATTAATAAAATATCAATGAAAATAATGTATAAATCTCAGTTTTATAATCAAAGATAACCAGATAAAATTCTTTTGAGGTGCAAGCTTAAAATTAAAAAGCAACTATATACCTGAATCTCCCTTAAAAAGAAGGCAAAGCAAGTAAAGAAACATTGCCATTACTGTTACAACAAAACCATAGCTTCAGTGATACAGACAGAAAAACAGTTTCAAGGAATTGCCTGAAATTTTGGCTGGTTTGTTGGTGTTTCTGTGAACAGCCAAAGAATTAAGAATAGTTTAAAGAATCAATAAGACAAACTAAGCACTATCAAGAAAAGCAGAATTAGTACTTATTCTTCCAATGCGATCTTATCTTTTCATACCTATTTTTCAAAATTCAGGGTATAACAAAAATGTAAGACTTTTAAAAAATATAAAGGTCATACCGCGTTTTGGCGCACACTTGAAGTACTGGACTTTTCCAACACTCCCATTGTTCTTCCCTTCCGGTTCATCCAGTTCTATGCCAGCCCACTGGCCACTAGCAAACTCAGTTGTGCCACAAAATCTTAAAGTACCAATCTAAAGTGAAAAACATCAATGCAGAACAACTTTGTTAAGTAAGTATTGATCACATGAATGTTGCAGAAATTATGAAGATAACTTACCTCCGAGAACAGAAACGCAAATAAAACAATCTCCTGATTACTGACCTTCCTTTCTTCCCATGCCAGCTAATGCTTTTTCCAAGACAGACTTTTGGGTAATTTTATATTGAACAAAAGCAGTCATTACTGATAGCTCTCATAACAGACAAGAATTAGACAGCAAGCACCACGGTACAATACAACGCCAAATCAGCAAAGTACAGCACCATATATATGGTTAATCTTAAGCTTTATTTTCACTGTTTTCCATGAGAACCACGACTTAACATCCTAAATCCTAAATTGGAAACTCCACAGAAATACTAGATTTAAAACTCTATAAATATATTTATACACACACACACACATACAGACACACCCATAGCACAGAGGTTAAAGAGTAAGTCTTCACTGAAGGCTTATGAAACTTTTATGTTATGAAACTTTTTCAAATAAAATCTTTAATCTTTCATTCTCTCCTTAAGATTAAACTAAATTCAACAAATGTTTTATATATTTTGTTGCTGCTTTCATATACATCGTGTTGGCTCTGAATAGGTAAGTAAACGAAGAAACTCAGGACAGACCAGTCTTGCTGGTGGACCTCAGTCTCCACAAATGTATGTTACAAGATCGCTTCATTGCAACCAAATATGGGAGAAATGTGCATTTAAAAATGACTTTAATATTTTTATCTAATTTTTAAATAAGTTTTACTAACAAAAGCTTTTCGTCTTTCAGTTACTCAAATTTCACTATCTCATGCAACCTTAATACTATTGGTTCATTTTTACTACAATTTCACTGTCTAATCCGCCCTCTCGAAAAAGAATAAGCAGACAGAAAACATTTTTTTGTTTGTTTAGTACAAAACCCTTCAGCTACGCTTTCCTAATACTCTGTAAAGAAATAAGCATGACCCAGCACCTACTTTTCTTTAGGTTCACTTGCTACAGGCAGTGTATTCTACTGATCTATACCCAGGCTCCTTGGCTACCAAGCCACAGATGGAAAGCAGCCTGCGAAGCCAGGCCAAGGGCCTGCCACATCCCTCTGCACTCCAGCACCTGCCCAGGAGCAAAGGGACTGGACCAGCAGACACCTGAAACCAGAGGAGGAGACTGGAAACTGCAGCTCCAAATTCCTCTGCTCCTTTCTTTCAAAAGTTGCTACAATTCCCTATCACGTCACATCTACGGCATGGGAAGAATGGTAGAAATCACAGCAAAGGGTTTTCTCCCAGCTGTTGCTGTCCCCCCAATCCCATTTCACTGAGTTTCCAGTCAGATAACATACCATCTAGCACAGCAGGAGCAAAGGAAGCTGAGCAACCCCATATCACGTGCATACACACCCCTGCTTGTATAGTTTTCTGCACTAGAAACACAACTAGAATGACAGCTGAAGCAGAAATCAGAAGTACTACCCAGCCCCACTTTCCCCCTAGCACCTACTGTCCTTAGCTCTCATTCCAGCTGCCTTAAAGTTGTATGGTAGGAGCTTGCAGAAGCAGGAAAGAGAAAAGCTATCCATAAAACACTGCTCAGTGCTGCTGTCCTGGTGCCCTCCTTTGAGTTTCTATATCCTCCAGAAGTGAGAAATGCTCCAAAGCACCTTGGTACCTTTGATCATCTTGTTCTTGTTTTTGCTTCACTGACACAGCAAGCATATGAAAATAAAAAGATAATAAAGGCTCTTTCTTGGAGGAAAAACTACACACAAGTACTAATTTCTTCCATTTCTTGCTCTAAAGCCTTTATTAACTTGTAGCTACATTATTATCAGCTCCCCTTGCTTTCAGTATGCAATGACTTCTGTAAAAGAAACTTCTATGGACGTGTTACTGTCTTTGAAGAGCAGTTATCTACACATATTCCAGTTAACGTGCCTTCTACATAGCTAGTGATTCCTTCCCTTTTCCTGACCCTGTTTAAAGAACACACCAAAGGACAATACACTTGGAGGCTGCCTTGGACTCTCAGTGGAGTTCACTTTACTTGTGGTAAGTACCAACCTGAAGCTATATAGGAAAAAATGCTTAAGGGTACACAGTGCTACTCAAACATAAAATTTGGCTCGCAAACGCCTTTCATACTTGCCAGAAATGTATCTGAAATCTTCAAGAAGAAATACACTAGCACTTTTAAGTCATTTCAAAGTCATGCTTTCAAAGCAAAGGTGTGAATACTCACTCTAATAATACCAACTTAACATTTTTTCAAATATACCTTACAAGTTAGCTTCTTAAAAGCTATTCAGATTTGAACTAGACCTGTATTAACACTTCTGCAGAACCATATAAAAATCCCTTTGGCACAGCACTGCTTCAAAGATTTCAGCTGCATTGTACCAGTGAAATTGAGTTACTACAGGCTAAGCAGGACTAAGCATTTTCTTTTACTGCCTTCTGGAAACGCACAAGGGCAATGCACAAATTCATACTTGTCACCCATAAAGCTGGGCAACCCATAAAGTCATCTGTATATTTTACAATCATTTTGGAATGACACCCAAAATGTTAATAAAAACTAAGCCATATTTGCGTATTGTAATAGGCTGTTAAAAAAATATTTGCAGAACAAAATGCAAACTTTACCTGCCAAAACAGCTTTTCATAATAGTGAAAGACTTTTAACACATAATTGTTCTTATTCTAAGGCTTTCTGCAACCAGATCCTCACCGCCTTCCAGAAGGTGCTTTAGACCTTCCATTTTAAATATGTACCCAGTAAATAAATGTACTGTCCACAAATTATGAGGACAGCATCAACATATACACATCATACCTTCTGCCCTGCAATAACAACACGGTCTCCCAGTTTGAGGCCAAGTGACAGAAGCATGGCCTTGCCTGTGATATGATCATAGTTTGGAATCATGGCTTTTGAGATGTCACATGAGAGAGGCACTGCATCCAGCAATATCTGCTTGATTTCTTTCGCACTGGCTGCTGCATCAGCCATTTCCAGTGGCATATCTACAGGATCAGGAACCACATCGGCTGGAATCTGCCCCTTGTCATTCTGTAGAAATATAACACAGGATAGAATTTAATGCTGTGATGACATAAATGTGATCACACACGCACACAAAAAGAGAAGTTTTAAATCATCTTCGTTGAACATTTTCATAGAATAACAGCTATAGAAACTACCTTTCCCCAGCACATAGTTCAAACTTTAGTGACACTTAATCCAAATGTAAGATATACTTTTATTAATACATATAGCATATATAGAATATACAAATAAAGATGGTTTCTCAAATAGATGCTTGAATAAAGTTGTTCATGTTTATACAGATACAGACTACTCCATGAGAATCACTTCCAGGAGTGTGAAGAGGCCTTAGTTTCCAAACCCTTGCCCTTTCCACAGGGCAGTAACTGCAGTGCTGCTCAGGTCCCACAGACACTCGTCCAAGGCCGGAGGCAGCAGAGTTCTGGCTGGTAACAGCTGGACAACCAAACAGTGGATTTGCTGTGTGGGCGATTGCACTTGAGTTAGGTTTAACTCTCGTTTGGTTGTCCAGCTGCTACAGTGGCAAGTCCCACTTACGCTTTCGTTGGTGAAAGCCTTAGTCAAGGTCTGCCAATTTTCACAAGGTTTGTGGAAACATAATTATCTCAGACTCCTCCAGATTTGTCCAAATTGTCCCATTGTTTTTGGAAATAGCCAAAAAAAGAACAAATGACAAACAACACTATAATACATGCTTTATTTACTTAAAAACAGACCTTTCTGGGCCCTCTATAAGATCCCCTTTCTTAGTCCTGGAAAATTGTAATCCTGATTCAGCACTTTTACTTTGTCGTCCTTCAAATAAGCAAGCTACATACACTGCCTCTGGTCGGAGTTTTATTGCAGTATTGAAGATTTAAACATCTATCATTCTTAACAAATCTACAGCCATTCTATAAGCAAAAGGACAGCCTCATTCAAGTCAGTGTAGCTTAAAAAGAGGATATTGCTGGGTTAAGATTGGGTGGGGTGTTCATTATCGAGTCTGCAATCATCACAGCAGCTATGTTTATGTCAGACCAGTCCTGAAATCCAGCTCACCAGGTGCCCTGCAAACCTTAGGCCAGGTGCAGAGCAAAGGTAAAAACAAGGCCAGGTGCAGAGCAAAGGTAAAAAGAAAAGGGCAAGAGTGGGCACTGGCACAGGATTGCTTACTTCCTGGCGGGAGCACCTTAATGCTACATCTGAACACCTGTGAAACCACAAGGCAGTATTTCCTGAAATAACAGCATTTTCAGAAAGGTCTTCACTGAACAGCATACAGAAACAGTAGAAACACCATTTTCCAGAAAATTTCACTTCATCACTGGTACATAAAATAAAAGCTTTTAAATACCATGAAAGCAGTTATGATTTCTCATTAAAAAGACTGCATTTGAAACAAAGAACTGGGATACTGCCTACACTACAAAAACCAAACAAGACTTGTGACTAGACATATATAGCAGCACTATACACTACATCTCAGGGTCACCACTTGGTTAGTGAGCAGAGCATGTTTCTTCATTATCAATTATTTACACTAACACTGAGGTTACTACTGCATTTCTCGAAGTCAAAGGCTGCACTCCTACATTTCTGAAATGCCCACCTCTGTGCCACAGGACACAAAAGAGTATTAACAATTCAAAGTTCAGGCAAAAAATGAAGGAGCATCTTGCCAGATATTTGAATGAATTAGCTGGACAAACATTAACAGAAAAATATAACACAGCAGGCAAAATCATCCACTACAAATCACAAATAATAACTTTTCAGAGAAATACACCTTTAGTTAACCAAAACCCTGGACTGTTCCACTCTTCCAGCTGCTCCTTCCCAGATAATCAAACCAATTAATTATTAGCTTTTTGCTGCATCTGCAATCTAACACCTTACCCTAAAGGCAGGATTTGCTCCATGTTCCAGTAAACACTTGACAGATCCTGTACATAGGTTAAAAGCAGCAATATGCAAAGCTGTTCCAAAATCAAAGTCACTGCAGGTGGCATCCACATCTGCAATTAAACATGATATGTGAGGGATGTAAATCTGTTACTTGAAAGTTTCATCCTGTTCCTTCATGGGACATTCAGATTTGTATTTTATGTTAATGTTTATGCAGAGGCACCATTAATTGTGAACTAAATGCAGATGAGAAGTGATTGTACCTCTGCTTTATATTACCTTCATTACTAAGGGCCAAGAATGAAGTGATATCAATTTTTTAAATTAAGGTTTTCAAAGAACTACACTGAAAAGGGTCTTGGACTGATAGTTTGGAAAATGCAGTACTGCATCTGACAGAAACAACACATTATACATTTCCACTGGTTGGTATGTTTCCCCAAAATATGCTTCAGCCTGCTATAAAGTTACTGTCCAAGAATATCCCAGGTTTAATGTGTATTTAGTCTTGGGCTCCTTTCCTGAACTATACAAAAGAGATGCCAGTTCAAGCCAATTATGTATGTGACCATTTACCAAAAATGTCAACTGATTTCATACACACACCAAAAGCCTACAAACATTAGCAATAACATTCAAATCCAAATTCCAGTTCAAACTTTCCACTTGGGGGCTGTACAGTCTCCTACCATTTACCAGTTACAGTCCCTGTCTCGGAAAGAGACTGTGCCTTTTCACAAAGTGATAAACAAGGTATATTCCTGCTTTATTAACAATCTAACATAGTTATGCTATGATATAGAAGATATATTTCTATATAGATCAACTTCATTTACATTGATATAGACTGGTTTTAAAGAGATCAAAGATAATAAAGTTCAGATCAAGTTTTGACAGTTTTACAATAGTGCCGATATGAGCACTGATTTAGTAATTCTAGAATGGATTGGCTCATACATGATAAAAGGCCATATTTGCACGATGCTATCACTACTTCAGCTATGAATGTAGAAGACCCCTTTCTATATAAAACATCAAAAGACCATTAGTTTGTGACTTCCTCAGATTTGCAAGGTTCATGCTTGGAGTTTTTGAACACTACTGCCTAAAGCATTTCTCTGAGTCTAAGTTGCATAATATAGGTCACAGAAACATATATAGATGAAATGCTGAATTTATTTAGCATCTTAGTGAGGTGACCCATTTAACTGTGTTAAATGAAGAACTATCTCTGTCTATGGGGAACTTAATATGTTGTGTTAGTTTTTCATTTTCAGTTTCAGTTCCTTTTCATATGGTTACAGTCAATGTCTAACAGTACCAGGCAACATTTTACATTTCACAATATTCAGTGATTTTTTTTTTGTTTTTAAAAACAGTCAAATGTAAGATCAAACTCTCCATTCTCTAACAATTCTCTCTCTCTCTAACAACTGAGAAATAAATCTGTATAAAGAGACTGTAACCACAGAACTTCATACAGGAAATAGTTAAACAATATACCGAAAAGAAAGAACTGTGGTAGCTGTTTGACGATGGGTGTCTCTGAGTCAGTAAATCACTTGCTCGAAAGTTACACATTCATTAACAACTATTTTTCTACAGCTCAGTAGGGATCCACCCAAGCAGTATTTGTCTTCTCAATATATTCTCTGCTCTGCAAACTACCTATTTGAAACGCATTCACTACAAAAATTCAGACTAAGAGAAAACGTACTAATAACGATGATGAAAACAGTAAGAAATCAGAAATTATTTATGTACAATGGATAAATAAACCGTACTCTTAAAGACCACTACACAAGAGCTTGGAGTCAACAGAAGATCAAAATATAATATAGTCCACTGCATGAAACAAAGGTAACAATGCCTACCTTTTGGCTTTGCATTTTTCAAAATTACACTAATAAGTTCTGGAACATCAAAGTAAGCAGCATAATGCAAAGCATTCATATTTGTCCAGCGGCTGCGTAAACTACTATCAGCACCCAAATCAATAAGCTGTGTGGCAAATTTTACAGCAGTTTCAACATCACCTGCAAAGCAAATTTTGTAACACATGCATTAGAGATTCATTTAAATGATCCCCAAAAAGATGCACATGCCTATACGTTATATACAATGCCTTTAAACCTTAAAGCCTACAGCAAACTAATTACTATTTGCTTTCAGGATTAGGATAAAAAAATCTTTGCCTTTTATCATAAAGAGCTGAAATCTCTACTATATTACATAACACTACCTAAGAATCTCTAATGTAAATAACCTGCCGCCCATCAGAAAACAAGGATATTAGTACTTGAAACAGAAGAAAAAAAATCCATAATACTAAAGTTTAATTTAACTTCAGCCAGGCCTCACTCAGAAATTTCGTTCAAACACACAATCTCTGTTTAGGATCAGCATAAAAAAATACAACTGAGAAAAGCTAACAGGGGTCCTCAATAAAACATTTAATGTGCTGCTGTTGCCAGTAGATTACTATAATCTATGACTATAGTCATTAGACTATAATAATGCAAATGTGGATTATTTTCTCCTCAGTTTTCTTCTGATATGATCAGGGTGAATAAAAAGGATATGCAGTCTCCTAAAGCTTCTAATTTCACAGACCTAAGAAAACCATAGATTTTCTTAGGCTCAGTTCACAATTAGTATCTCAGTTTGAAACAGCTTTTGCTACATTAAATATATTTTTAGGCTAGTAATATTGCTTGCAACATTAATACCAGTAACTCACCATTCTTTCCATTGCAACCCCATTTACTCCTAACTGCCACAATCCTAACACTGCTATACTTCTGTATCTTCCTGATGGTTACTGAAAGAGTCAGAACAACATACTAAAAAAAAATCTACTGTAAGAAAAGTATCTGTAATAGTGGGAGTTACCTCTGTGAACTGACCACAGCATACGAATTAACATATTTACTTACCAATACCATGAGCCCCTGATTTGCAAGTGTAATGCAAGAGAGTCATATCAGTCAGTCCATCTCTGTCATTCACATTGCAACCTCTTTTAATGATCTGTAGTGAAGAACAATCACGTTTTAGCTCTGGCATATCTCTGACACAAGTATTATTCAGCAGGTTTTGCACCTATACACATTGTTTTGTTTGAATGGATACAAAAAGATTCTATAAATTGGAACTACTGTTCTTACGATCAGGCTTCACTGTAACTTTGTGAACTAGAATTTTACAATTACTGTTAAGTGAAAACTGAAATAACAAGATGGAGAGCATTAGACAAATAACTACTCTCAGAAGAAACAACCTGTCTTTACCACTTATTCAAATGTTCTGAATTTTTCTTGGTCTTCTTCACATTTCCCAATGAAAACACAGTATTTGGAATACAAGATGCTGATTAGTAGCTACATGCTAAGAGACAAAAACAGTATCTGCATTTATGACCAATTTTGTTTTTGAATAAATTGTTTGTTGTCATTATCACTACTATAGTATTTTTTTAACACAGAAAGCTTTCAAGGATCTTCATTTATTCCTCACCTCATTTCCAATAATATCAATGTTCTGCTGGACCTGTGGGACCCACTGCCTTAAGATAGCAAACAGTTCAGAAACTGATGTTTTGGGGTTGAAAAGTATTTCTTGGCATGCTGCTTCATTAGGATCGAAAAAGGAAAATTCTGATAAAAAAAAGAAAATAATTTTAAGAGCAAATATACTCTATGAATACATCTATATTTCCATCTCAGAGGCAAAGAATAGGAGAGATTCATTTCATTAATGATCAGACTGGAAATTTAAGATCTCTGAGTAATTCAGAAGACTTTTTCTTTAACATCTGGTCTCTTTTACCTCTTACATTGAGGTCTGTCTTACACTTGGAAAAAGTTTTGCATCAGCAACCAATACAACAGTACTGCAAGGCCGATTTAAAGCTTAGAACAAAAAAGGAGGACTTCTTCGCTGATAATTAACATGAAATTTGATTTGAATCTAAATTGTAAAAAGTCAAAATTCAACAAAAATTCACCTCCCAGCACTACACAATGTGGGCTTCTTAACCTAATTCCCATGCACTGGCATAGATCTACTAGTTTATTTACTAAAGTTTAACCTCTGCTGGAACCTCAGTTGCCTGCACGATAAAAGCTATGAAGGAAATCCACTATCAGCCAACAAGATTTATGATCTTATATGACATGCATGATTATTATTCTGCCAGGAAGCTTTGCAGCTACTCATGTGAACCTCAAACAGAGGTCAGAAATTGATTCTACCAGACTGTTAAAACCAGCATGTAAGGATAAAAAAAAAAAAAAAAAAAAAAAATGTGTTAAGAAATGTTAAGTCATCATAAACGCTTAATATTTGACCAATTACAGTGTTTTTAAGAGCAAACCAAAGAAATCTTTTAAAACTCTCTTAAAACAATAAGTTCCATTATAAGTACATTTTAGCTTTATCTGAAAAAGAATTTGGTAGAAAGTGGTTAAACCTCAACAGATAAAATGCGATACTTGCAGATATCACAAGACTGTTTAAAGAAGGATAAAAGGAAATTTTTTGTAGCGGATAAGAAAGCAGAATAGAATAAATTATGGAAGTACTTAAGACAGAATAGGATAGAAGGACAGATAAAAGAGCTACAAGGATAAACTATATAAATATGCACATGTACTAAAAACATATCACTTGGAACACTAAGTTCCCAAACACACGCTATCTCATCCAACAGGTCTCAGAAGCGCAAAGCCTACCAAAGACAGAACATTATGTTAGGTGTACGTATGTCTCAAAATGGGGAAAATGGAGGTAGAAAAAGTGATTTTTAAAGGTATCTAGACACCATTGACATGATTTATAATATTCAAAGGTGTTATAATTTTAGCAGTTACTGAAATCCTTAGCACAGTGACATTACAGATTGTTTAAATACCGAAAGCACCAAGAGAAACAGTATAGCTATTCTTATAGCAGATTGCAATGTAATATAGATGCTTAACTATATTTGAATTTAACTGTTGCAATTGTATACCATTTTCTCTTAACACAATATGTATTTCTACATTTAGATGTAAACAATCTATGATCATCTGACTATACAGAATAAATTAACTGTAATAAGTTATTGTAATAATAAATTAACCATAAAAGGTGTAGGAAGAAGGGTTCTTCATCTTGAATTTCATTTAAAGACTCATTAGAGAATTCATTCAACAAGCAATAAAATTTGGAATAAATTAAGAGTTTAGAATTTTCCTTTAAAAGTGTTATCCAAGTTTATCATCTGTCAAGGTAGCTTGACAAATTCATTTTCTGTTAAAGTACATACCACAGTCTGAAGGCATTGGTGCTGCAGCAACAGAAAAAGTAACAGATGATTCTGAGCTTGGAAATAAAAATGGATCCCTTTCAGTGAGGGAATCTCCTTCTAAGGAAGGTTCTGGGAGATCCTCTATGGTCATCTTCTAGAAAGCCACTTCAATAAGAGCAAAAAACTGAATAAATAACTTTGTTATAAATACTGTGAACTAGTTCTATTATGATAAGACATAATGTAGAATGAAGTTTAAATTTTTCCCTTAAAAAGCATGCAAAACATTAATACTGTAATATACTTACAAATTAGCAAAATGCATTTAGTAGTAAAAGCTAATTAGATTGAGCATGGCATCAACAATCTCCAACTTCCAATTTTGCCTTCATTGCTCATTTTCTATATTATTAATGGAAAACACTATTATTATTAATAAAATTTCTCCCACTTTTTGCACTTATGCAATGAGGAAAGCAACATGACAACTAGAAGGCACAGAGATGGTTTTACACCTATGTGAAAACATGAAGAAGCATCAAGTACTTCCTCATATACAGAACTTCTTTCTTTCCTTCACTGTGAACAGGAGCACTCACACTACCAACTAGTCCTTTTCTCAAATTCTGATCACGTTAATCTTCCCACACAAAGCTGCAAACAATTCATCACTGTGTGATTCATTCCTGAACTCATGATTCTGTACCAGCTCCTTTCCCAACCGCTCCCTACTGTGTTTCAAAATAGCGTACTTACCGCAGTGTTGTAACCTCCACCTCAGTGTTTCCAGTAACTTGTCCAAGCCTTGCAGCAGCCTAGTTGAGAAAACAAAAATTAAATGGTCATTTTTCTAGTCGCATTTTCTAACAACCAGGCCACGTTCCATTCCAGTGATGTACTGAATTTGCTCACATAGTTACCTTCTCATCCAAGTTGTAGCCCACTCTCCTTTGGATGAGAAGGTAACTATGTGAGCAAATTCAGTACAAAAGAGAACGGGATGCTATTCTTAATTAAAAATGACATTACTGAATTACCAATAACTATATCTCACAGATGAAAAACTAAATTCTGTAGCTTGAACTTTCATGATTACATCCTCAGAGTAAAAGCAGTGTCTCTACTAAATATGCTAAAATCTATATTCTGACAATTGCTACATACTGCTCTCAACTCAGTAAATTGTCTGCCTGATAGATAAAAAACATATGCAGCCTTCAAGGCATGTTTATTTTTATTAAATTTAATCCATACACTGTGAGCGAGCATCAGAAAAGAGTAAGTAGCGTTTTTCTAAGATTTATTTTAATTTTCTATATATATCATACATGCATAAAGATATTTTAATGGACTTACTGTAATATTTCCCAAAATAAACTTGCCACATTACTTTAGAACCTCACACAGTCTACGTGCTAATAAGAAAGAGATTTTAACAATGGATTAAGGATGTTAATCTTGAAATAAGTAAATAAAAATCTCCTCTCCTTCTACATCATGCACAGTTCATTGTTCTCAGCTTGGAAAAGAGATCTAGATGAAAAAGGGTTGTATTTTTCCAGGTCACTTATTTCCTCAATCTGCTGCACTGTACAAATGTATGTGGTCTATCACCGTGGAAGGACTGCACTATTTCTTCCCACATCCTTACCAAATTACATTAGTTTAGGCATCCTTAGATCCAATATGGTCAATAGAATCACTGATTATTTCAATTATCATTTTCATCCAGTAAGGACAAGTTGGATCTAAAAATACATTATCATATTATGACACAGTACCAAACTACAGCAAGCCAATGCAACTATGTGTTCTGCACCCACAACTACCCCCAGAAAGGGCGAGCTCAAATACAAGAACATTGTAACCTGTTAACATGATGCAAACATACCTGAAACGGCTGAAAACAGATTCAGAGAAAAGGAAAGATAGAGCAAAAATACAGCTGTCTCAGGTATTAATAATACCTGCAGTATATCGATGTAGGGGACATGACATAGTGGAAGAGAATGTCTGTATCTTCTGGAACAACTTCCAAGAGTCACGACTTCCCTACAGAACAGATGACATTACCAGGCAGGATTGGATGAGTAGGGGTATGGTAGAAAAGAGTAAGAGAAATTTAGTGACAGAAGTGACAGAATTTTCCTTTCCATAGCAACGCCAAGCTATGGTACCACTAAGTTAATTACTGTGTCACAGTGAGTACTGTACTTACTATTTGCCAGCCATACGTTGCTGTAACTGAACACAGTCTGAAAGTGAAAGAAAGAAATATCACTGGAAAAATAATTACGAAAACGTGAAGGAGTCATGAGACACAAACACTCATGTTACCAAGACCAAAGATAAGGTACAGTTTTCCCAAGATCGACACATTACACAGAATATGAATGGAATCTCTATGCACCAAAAAAAAAAAAAGAGTTGATCTTACAATAAGGGATACTTTAAAAAAATCAGGTATTGCAATTTGAAATTTTATGTTGAAATCTAAATACATTCTTTTTCCTGCAACTGCTGTAACAAAGAGGTTGAGCAATACCTCAAAAAGGTAATGAAATTTAAGTAATAAACTCCAATGTTATTAGAACTTCAATGGGAAAACTTGTCACCAATGTGATGTCATTTTTGACAAAAAACATGTTTAACGGGCCTATGATCCTCAATCTAAGACTTAAAAACTTACAAGTGAGAAGGAGCAAGACACATAAACTACTTGTTCCATAAGTCATATGAATATAGACACGCTCAAGGTTTCTTGGCTAGAGCATGGAGCCTTCTTGCAACTTAGCAGTGTTTTGAGTTTTCAAAGAGTTTTGATTTCACAGTGGTCACCATGGCCCGAGTTAATTTGAATCTTCATTCATTCCCTCGTCTTCCAGTAGAATCAAAAGCAGCAAAGCAAGCGCTAGCACACGGCTTCCCAGCATGAAACCCTAGGGAGGCCCAGCAGCGCACGCGGCAGTGCAGGGCCCCAGCAGCTGCCTCCAAGCACTGCCCCCTCTCCGGGCTCGGGACACCGCCGGAGGATGAAATTACACCTGGGCCCCAAAGCGGTGGCATCGCTGTCACCACGTTACAGCACACGGCGGCGCGCGGGGCAAGAGCCAAAGCGAGACAGGCCGATCGCAGGCGCCGGGTTCCGCGAGGGGCA